GAATAACAATTTCAAATGTATTAACGTTTTTGCCAAATGGTAGAACGCACCCTAGCTGAGCTTAAGGGTTTGATAACAGTGCCTATTGGTTACTCAGATCCTCCAATACCTAGTTAATTTTAGTTAGGTCCTAGTTAAGTTCCAATGGAGCATCTCCCAGAAGAGGCAGTGATTGTCCAGCTCCTTGAATTGTGCTTCGTAAGTCAGTGCTAATGTGTGATGGTGAGAGATCTGCAATGGAGAGTTTAAAACTTTAAAAATTCAATAAATAAAATGTGGTCTTTGTTTGAAATATAGTTATTCATCTAGCTGAATGAAATATAGACTTGTAATTGATATTGGGTTGTCCTTACTGTTGTATGGTACTGTACATGACAATTTGTTTACTGAATGAAATGTCACTTAAGATTATCTGCGTTTTAGAATTCTTGATTGTTTTGAACTAAACTCAATGTCTTGTGATCAGAAAAGAGATTGGTGTGAACATGCCAGCCACAGCCAAGGAGAATGTGGCCTTCCTCAAGTTTTCTACAAGAACGATTGCACTATTTTACTAACTTTGAACACTGTTACCTTGCCCTGTGTGGGCATTGACTTGCTGCTGCAACCATTCACTGGTGAAGCTTTGTAATGAAAATTAAATCTGCTTTTGTTCGACTGTCAAGTTCTCGACATAATTTTTTTTTGCAAGAGAAACTGCAACTTGAATTGGCCAACATGCAAAAGAGCAAGATTTTAATTCTCAAACAACCCTGATGTAAACCTACAGATGCATACATGATTAAAAATTAATTTTGAATTGATTGTGTCCCTGGGGTACAGGTACTCTGGTCAGAATTAGCTACTCCAGCCACTAGTGCCAGTTTAATCCTGGAGCTAAAAGATTTGGAAGGAATTGTGATTCCTGTGACAATCTCATTTGAATTTATGTAGCACCTGTAGTGTATGCTTGATTCGGCACAGTTATAATATATATTCTACCTATAAGAGGGGTTTGTAAATATTAGGGATTCAGTGTGTTTAAGAGTGATTTAAGAGTTAAGGATTGAAAGAATATACTTTTGGAACCCTTGAAAGAATGTCCAATGGAATTGTCCTTGCATGATGTGTATAATAATGTTTTGTTGGGGTTTTTCATGGAATCTTACTTATGGTTGAGAAGAAGATGAATATAGGCACTTTAAGATTGCCAAAATCAATAAACGCTCTTGTGCTGATGTACTTCTTTTGGTTTTTGAATCTTCAGTTGCCAAGATGGGTAACTGCATTATTCTGTAAATACTGTCACTAACTAGACACATGCTAATTTATCTGTAGTTAAAATAAAACCTCAAAGCTGTGGGCAATTTATGCCAACAATTGTGTTCAGACCACTCACTTTAGATGGGATGTGTTTGATTCTCTCCCATTCTTTCCCCAATTTGTTTTAAAAAAACAGCATTGCACTGAGACTGAATGTGTAGTGACAGCAGCAAAAGAGTTGGTAGCTCAAGAGTGAAGACTATGTGCTGGGTGAGAATTCTTCATCGATGAAATGCACTCAAACCCATTCTCCGTAAAAACAGCAATTGCTGGTGCAACTCAGCAGGTCTGGCACTACCTGTGGGGAGAAAGCAGAGTTAATGTTTTGAATTTGGTGATTCTTGATGCTCCGAAGAAGTCACCAGATTTGAAATGTGACTCTGCTTTCTCCCCAATGATATGGCCAGATCTGATGAGTTTTCAGCAATTGTTTTTGTTTCAGATCTCCAGCATCTGCAGTTCTTTGTTTTACATTCTCCATTAGAACTGTGTAGCAACCTGTTGAAGTTGGAATGGCCTTGTCTCCCAGTGTCACTAAAGATTGAGCTGTGATAGAATTGCTGAGTGGATTTATGAGTAATCAGAAAAGGTGTGAACTGAGTCTTAACTTCCCACCACCACAACCCTTCCCTTGTCCCCTATCATCCACAGAACTGTCACACCTAACTTTCGACAGAGTCCCCACTCCTGTCCTGACTCGGCAAACCCCAACCCTCACTCGCCATTTCCTATCGATGTACCTCCTCATCCACCTACCCCTTCACTCTGAGCCGTCCACTCATTCCCATTCTGTCACTATGTGCTGCAAATACAGGAAGGTATCCTGACTCCCTCCATCCCAGCTCTACTTATTTTGTTTCAGCCACGCTGTTGGTAAAGAATCTTCCCTGAGTTTCGTGTTGGAAACAGTGAATGTGTTAACTCTCGTTGAACCCTTCAGGATTTGAACAGCCATAACATTCAAAGCTAGAGGTCCTAACCAGAAGTGATATTCACAAAACTGGTCCTTGTTCTCCCCACCAAATATAATCAGCGTTTTAGGCTTATCATAAGAAATGGCTCTTTGATTCTATCTCATCATCCTATGTTGTACAGTCATTTTCTGATGATTTTTCCACAGAGAAGCCATAATATAACAAATGATCCATTCGGGACAACAAGCCGTACATTAATACTAAAAGCCATTGAATGTGCTGGGATCGATGTGTCACCCTGAATTCTGGTAGACCTCCTCAAACAGGCGATGAATTTAGCTGAAAATGTTGACCCACCCGCGCAAGGAACATTATTTTCGGCCGAGTCTGACAATATCATCAGTGAAATCGTCGAGTTAATGTAATTTGCAGCTCAGAAAAACTCAGAGCGGAATATTGGGACGTGACAATTCCTACCTTTCTCTGATTATTATTCATGTGCACGTGGAACTGAAATTCCATTCATATTGGGATCATCATATTCCGAAGCATGTAATGTGTTTCAGTCTGTTAACCACCTTCGTCGTTGATATTTCAACTTAGTACCCGAGCAAATTAATTTAGTTTCCCATCTGCAGCCCCACTCCACCTAATCTATTATGAATTAGAGCCAGGCTCCCCAGGGGTGATATTGGGAAGCCTTCTTATGACGGGAGTAGAGACCTGGAACTCACCTCCCCCCTCCCCAACCAGATATTAGGCTGGCGATGGGATGGGGTGTAAATTGGACATTTCAAAATTGCAGTCAAAAGATTTTTGTTAGAGCGCGGGTCTTTAGGATTTCAGAACCAATGTAGATAAATAAATAGATCAGCTTTGATCGAACTGAATGGTCTGCTTTCTCTATGTGTTAGCCGGGTCAGTTAATGCAAAATGCTCCAAATGTAATAGTCTACGCTGAGAGTTGGTCTGTGGTGGTGCTGTTGTTGCTTGCCGGTGAAGAAAGCAGATAGTCAAACCCTTATTGTCAGATTGACAAAACAATAATAGTCATTTGGATGAAATGATAGAAAGTGACTCACTGCTTATGGACTGAGAAGTGAATTGGTAAACTCTCGATACAGGGACAAGCTGGAGTAACACACCAGGTTAGGCAGCACCAGGGGAGCAGGAAAGTTGATGTTTCGGGCCTAGGTCCTTCAGGACGATGTCAACTTTCCTGTCCCCTGATGCTGCCTGACCTGCTGTGTTCCTCCAGCTCCACACTATGTTATCTCTGACTCCAGCATCTGCAGTTCTTGCTGTCTCCAGGTAAACTTTCTCATTGATTTTATTTGACATTGGCAGTAAATCTAACCATCTCTTTACAAATCCTCCCAAGAGCTCAGGGTATGAAGGTTACTACACATCTCCTTGCTTGTGTCCCCCAATGGATGATACGGTCTTATGCTGTGCCTCTACTCTTAAATATCTCCATTCCATGCCCTCTCCTCTCTCCATCTAAACCACCCACTTTAAAACCCAGCTTTTCCTAAACTTTTGGCTACTGTTATACTGGGTTCAATCGCATCTTATCGATCTCCATTGTGAGCCATCCTTGAGGGCTTTTAATTGAAAAGCAGTAAGGCATTAAGAGTTTAACGATGACCATAAAACCATTGTCGATTGTAAGGAAATCCCCGTGTTGGTTCACTAATGTCCTTTAGGAAATCTGCCATCATTACCTGGTTTGGCATACCTGTGACTCCAGACCCACAGCAATGTGGTTGACTCTTAACTGCCCCTCCGGGCAATAAATGCTGGCACAGCCAGCAATGCCCATCCACATCCCTTGAACGAATAAAAACGACTCTCACTAACTCCGACCGATCCTCCCAAATCTTCTGACTGTCTTAATCTCCACAGTCCAATTCTGCTCCTCAACTTCTGACTCCTGTACCCCTCTCCCAATGATGCCAGGACTCTTACCTAACCTGACCTCACCATCTTATCCAATGTACCAGCCTCTCACCCGGCCATCTAACCAACACACCAGAAAGCTATCTGAATGCCCCAATGATTTTCAGTGCATTAAGTGAATACAATGTCCAGAATACAACATCCAATGCAGTCGAAAGATGGGTCTTGTCTCCCCACCTCACACACAATCTAGTGCCACAAAAAAATTTCTCCAATGAAATACTACTCTACGTTCCTGATAAGACTGGGGTGGAACTCCTAGCCGGAAATATGCAGCTCTGTCGTCAAGTTTAAAAAAAAGGCAGATAGTCAGACGGTGATTATCATTAGCAGAAAATTCAGTCCTGAATGAACTCGCTGGCAGAAAGAACTCGAGGACCAGTCCGAGTCCTCTATGGATAAACCATTACTCACGGTCGTTATTCCTTAATCAAATTCTCAATGATTCACAAAACAAACACTGTACGTTGCTCGCTTACTGTGTAGAATTTAGAAGGGTTGCCTAAGCCTTTGTATTTGCTCCTTCCAAAGGTAACCAGAAATAATGTCAGCATGTTAACGATACTGTTTGCACGTTGAGAGTTGGCCACCATCTTAGTATATCTATATAATTGATTATGAGTTGCCATTTTGCATTGACCAGGCATCCTCACAGATTCTGCAGGGGGCTGGGTAACCTTGACACATATTGATGGTACATGCCCGTTGGAGACAAGTCAGCTTTCAAGCAATTGCATATTGACAATGTTATTTCACAGATGATATTTTAAAAAGTGGATTTTTATTTTAAAAGGCTTCCTGTTGTTCTAGGTTGCTGCCTTCAGTGAAAGCAAATAGAAACTTCACTGCAGCAGGGGCTCTACCAATTGGCTACCAGGCGATGTCTCTGTCCTGCTGCCTAGGCAACAGCAGATGAATTATTCACGGCAGATCACAAGAGCCAGCTGAAGCTGTGAAAATAAAAACGACATCTCTCTTTTCAAAGAACGCAAGGTAACATACCTGATCTAAGTCCTGACTGCTGCATTTTGTAAATGTTAAACTCTGAACAAAGATACATCTCAGATTAAAGGAAACTAGCTGCTTTAAAAAAAAGTTCAACGTTGCAGTAATTGCTTTAAATGCATGAGCGAAGGATACAAATGTGATGGAGAGACGCACTTCAGCATTATTCCGGGGTTTCGTATCATTTGCTGCAGTAACACCCAATTCTGAGCCTGCAGTTTATTGTCATGTACCTCACTGACCATTATAGTGCTGTTTCTTTCCAGCAACGTTTGATTTAATTTCTGATGGCCGCAGTAAATGGTGGAAATTCTCCCAGTTATTAGGCAGTCTCTCTCTTTCTCTCTGTGTTCCTCTTCCTGCAGGTTACCATGCTGTCTGCAGTCATCATTAGATCCGTGATACTGACCGTCCTAGGCTGGGCCCTAACTACAGGTCACAGCTCCCGGGATCCAGACAAAGTGTCTGAAGCAGACATTCAGCGATTGCTGCATGGAGTCATGGAGCAGTTAGGTATCGCTAGGCCCAGAGTGGAATATCCAGCCCATCAAGCCACAAATCTGGTCGGACCACAGAGCATCGAAGGTAATGGCTTCTGACAGTATTCTGCAGAACGAAGGGGGTACCTTAGGGATTTTCTTTTCGCTTTAGGTTTGCAAATTAAACGTACTGGCAAATATCACGATTGCAAGATTAGTTAACATACTCAACCTTTTAATAGGGCCCAAAGAGACTGTGGAATTGGCGACCATAGGGAGAAGTTGAGGTGAATCGTTTTGAAGCAGTTTAAAGGAAGCTGGATAAATGCAAGAAGGGTCTAGGCCCGAAACGTTAGCCTTCCTGCTCCTGTGATGCTGCTTGGCCTGCTGTGTTCATCCAGCTCTACACCTTGTTACCTCAGATTTTCCAGCATCTGCAGTTCCTACAATCTCTAGCACAAATACCAGATCACTTTTTTAAAATATTGGTTGAGGGACAAATATTGGCCAGGACCCATGGAGAGCTCTGCTGCTGTTCTTTGAAATAGAATATTTTACATTCATTTGAGAGGATAGACAAGGCCTTGGTTTTAAGGTCTCATCTGAAAGACCGCACCTTCAGCAATACAGTGTGACGACAGTATTGCACTAGTGTGTCAGTGTGGATTGTGTGTTAAAGTACCTGGAGTAGGATTTGAACCCACCACCTTCCCACTCAAAGCTGAGCCTGCTGTTAGATTCCAGAGCACGATGATACTGGAGCACATCTTTACACAAGCTTGTTTATTTAGAGTTAAACACCATGTGTACACACATTCTAATTCAAAATTTGTACAGTTTCAGTAAATATCTCTTTATATGCTCAGTTGAAACTACGGTGTACGCAAATTTTTAATAATTGAAATAATATTAACCCGTGCTACCAACAAAGGCAAACCTTCCACCATAAGCAACACATTTTTGGCTTTTTCTTATGTCTGATGTTTCTTATGTTACAGCTAAGACTTTATTTGGCAATGGATCCACAGCAGCTGCTGAATGAAATAAACCGTGCACATATGGACAGCGTAAACATCATGTTTAAATATTTCCTTTGGACAAAAACATGGAAAAGTCAAGATCTATTTTGCTTAATGAACAGTTCAGATTCTTATTGAGGGTGTCTCCATTGTAGTTTCTTCATCATATTACCTGTCAAAAGTTTCATTGTTCAGGAAAGAGACAGTTGAAGAATTTCCATGACGTGGTTTAGTTCTGTAATGTTGACCAGTTAGTACATGGTTACCCTCGTGCATTTGTAAAGAGGTGAAAAACGGATCAGGAAACTCTTTTGTGAAGATAATGACTATTTAAACATGACAGTGCTCTGATGAATGCAAAGAAAAAACCTCTGGATAAAATTTGCTAAGAAAATGGCCCATGATGTGAGTTTTAAAAAATGTTTCTGCTCCTCAGCTAATCATTGGGCAGGAGAAGGCAATATTGCAGCGACACTTGGCATGAAGATGAAGATATAGCACTCCTCCCTTGTATTCCTAACTCTGCTAATAAGTCCACATTTTTCCAAATATGAGTAAATCCTATCCCTAAGAATCTTCTCCAAAGGGTGTTTGAGGGTAAATCCACACCTGACATGTGGGAATCTTTTAAAGGCCAGTTGATTAGAGTTCAGGACCAGCATGTTCCTGTGAAAATGAAGGATGGCAAGGTTTGGGAAACTTGGACGACAAGAAAAGTTAAGAGCTTAGTTAAAAAGACAAAGGAGATACACGTAAGATTTAGGAAACTGAAAATAGACAGTCCACGAAGAATACAAAGATAGCAGGAAAGAACAACAAACAAGGAATTAGGAGAGCTAAAAGGCCCCATGAAATGCTGTTGGCAAACAGGATTAAGGAATGTCCCATGGCGTTTTATACATATATAAGGAGTAAGGGGGTACATCGGGAAAGGGTAGAACCACTCAAGGGCAAGGGAAGGAATTAATGCATGGAGCTGGAGGACATGGGTGAGGTCCTTAATGAATACTTGGCATTGGTGTTCATAACGAGAAGGACGAGGTAGATGCTAGGTCTCAGGAGGGGTACGTTGATATTCTATGGCATGTTAAAATAAAAAAAAAAGAGGAGCTGTTGGATATTTTGAAAGACATTAAGGTGAACAAGCCCCCAGGATCTGAGGGATCTATCCCAGAATGCTGAGGGAGGCAGGTGAGGAAATTGATGGGATCTTGTATGAAATCTTTTGTATCCTCCTTAGTCACAGGAGAGGTCCCATAGGACTGCAAAATAGCCAGCTTTATTCCTTTGTTTATGAAGGGCAACAGGGATAATCCAGGAAATTACAGGCTGGTGTACCTTAGTCAGTGGTAGGGAAATTATTAGACAAGATCCTTAGGGATAGGATTTACTCACATTTGGAAAATTAGCGATAGACAGTATTGCTTTGTGCAGGGAAGGTTGTGTCTCACAAACTTGATTGTCACTTCCTCAAAAAATTCAATGATGATTGATGAGGCAAGGCAATAGATGTCGTCTATATGGACATGAGCAAAGCCTTTGACAAGGACTGTCAAGGCAGGCCGATACAAAAGATGAAGTCACATGGGATCCATGGTGAGCTGGTAAGTTGGATACAGAACTGGTTTGGAGGAGAATGTACGTTTGTGGATGACATAAATATTGGGGAGCTGTGGATAGTAAGGAGGATTGCCAAAGGTTGCAGCAGGATATAAGTAGGCTAATGACTTGGGCAGAGAAATGGCACATGGAGCTTAATCCAGAAAAGTGCGAGGTGATGCATTTAGGGAGATCTTATGCAGGAGGGAAGTATACAATAAATGGCAGAACCCTAATAGCATTAACATACAGAAGGGTCTAGGCATACAAGTCCACAGTTCTTTGAAAGTGGCAACACAAGTGGCTAAGGTGGTCCAGAAGGCATATGGCATGCTTGCTTTCATCGCATGGGATGTAGAGTATAAACATTGGCAAATCATGTTGCAGCTGCATAGAATTTCACTGGGATTACATTTGGAATATTGCATACAGTTCTGGTCACCACACCGCTACCAGAAGGGTGTGGAGGCTTTGAAGAGGGTACAGAAATGGTTTACCAGGATGTTGCCTGGTTTAGAGGCTATTAGCCAAAAGGAAAGATAGGACACACTTGGTTTTTTTTCATTTGAACATCAACAGATGAAGATGACTTAATAGAAGTTTACAAAATTATGAGAGGCATGGATGGAATAGATAATCAGAATCATTTTCCCAGGGTAGAAATATCAATTACTAGGGGACATGGCTTTAAGTCTAAAGGAGATGTCAGAGGCAGGATTTTTACATGGAGAATGTTAAGTGCCTGGAATGTGCTGCCAGAGGAAGTGGTGGAGATTGCTATTGTATCTATGTTTAAGAGGCATCTTGACAGTTATATGAATAGGCAAGGAATAGAGGGATAGGGATCATGTAGAGATGAAAGGTTTTTAGTTTAGGAAGGCATCATATGTTGGTGCAGTCATGGTGGGCTGAAGGGTCTGTTCCTGTTTTGTACTGTTCTTGGTTCTTTGGAAGCATGACCCACTCAATTGAAACAGTAATGTTAAAATGGAGCATAAATCCAAAGTTGAAATTTTGGGATTTTGTGGTGTTTAGTTATGAGCATTGACATCACTTAATCATAAAACAAGCAAATGGTAAAATGCCACATTTCACATGACTTTGCAGTGCGTAATAGTTTCCATAAAAGACCAAATAAGCTTGCACTATGTAAATATTAGTAAGCTTTTTCTGTTAAACTAGTAGGTGACTTGTTAGAATTTTTTTAAAAATTAGCCTAATTTTCTAACCAACCTGTTCAGAGATGTTATTACACACCTCTAGAGCAGGTGGGACTTGAGCCCTGGCCTCCTGGCTCAGAGGTAGGGGCACTACCTCTACACTACAAGAACCCTTTTTGTTACTGTGTATAAACATTTAAACATGATTGGAAACGTGTTGTTCAGGTACTTGTATATGAACTCAGCTATACACCTGGAATAGGTTTCATACAATCAAGTTCAAGCATTGATAGTCTGTGCACTTGCCAGCTATATTCAACGCTGATGTAAAGGCTCAATATCAGTTCAACGTAGAACTCTAACATCTGAGCCTGATGGTTGCTGGTTCAAATCTTGCTCCAGAGACTTGAACATGAATTCTAGGCCGACGCTTGCAGTGCACTACCCAAGACCAGCCTGAACAATTGGAGGTGACATTTATATAGAATAGACTGAAGGGAGGCAAAGACAAGAAAGTAGAACTCCCTATCCGATCAGCTGTATACAATTGAAATCTATGAGAGTTCAGACTTGAATAGAATAAATTATGACACCGGCAAAGATACAAGACTACAATATTCTCCAACTAGCTCTATTGGACTACATTTTGGAAATAACAAGGAAATTAACACTTACAATGTACTTGTATTAATATGCTTATATTAACACTGATAGATGACAAGCAAGAAAATAACTTGAGGACCTGTCAATGGATTTATAAATTGATATATTTTGATTCGTGTGTCTTGTGACCAGATGTCAATAGTTTACAGAAGTGGAATGTGGCTGAATACTCCCAACCCAGTTCTTGTTTTAATCTACAGGATGCTGACCTCTTTCAGCTATTGGGTCTTACTTAAAAACTGAATCATCCATGCAGTCCTCAAACTTGTCCCTTGATCTTTTTTTATTTTAACTTACAGAAACACTGGCACTTTCCAGCCAGCTATCTGCCATTGGTCAACCAGGATACCGAAAAGGTTTCACACTCCCTTCCCCAATCCAGCTGGTTATATCTTATATCTGTTCACATCTGGAGCAATGATCAGAGGCACAGGAGGACAATTGTAACTTCTGACATGTTGGCCTATATCTGAATATCCACAAGGAACAAAAGATAGATATGTCTTTGTCATAGCCCTCAGAACAGCCCTGTAATGATCAGGCAGTGGTTAGACCCTGAATGATCAGCTGTGTGAAGGGTCAGATGGCATCACCCTCCTGGACAAGCAGAGTCCCTACGAACTGTTTCAAAATGCCCTCTTTGATTCTTCCAAGACCTCCAAGCA